ATTCTTCTTTTCATTTATCACTTAAAGTTCTGTTTTTTTAGTATTTAATTCAATATTGTTTATCTGAAAGAAGGATTCTGCAATATAAATTAGATTCTGCATATCCTCTTTAGAGTTTGCTAGAAGTGTGGTATTATCAGCATAAGCTAAGCCTGCAATTTGTAACTCTTCTTCTTTTGTTTTCCTCTGTATTAACTCTAGTGGCTATTCTAATTTTGCTTTAGCACCATAGCTGCATTTGCATAGTTTATACAGTAATGGATTGAAGTATATTCTCCAAAGAAGGAAGGAAATTACTTCTCCTTGGTCTATGCCTCTTTCAGAGCAGAAACCTTTTGTTAAGCCAAACTTGGTAATGACTTTAACCTCTCTGTTTGTAAACATGTTAACTAGAAATTTTTCAAGTTTTTCTAGGATCTTAATTCTTTTTAAAGCGAGTTGAAGCCTCTTAAGGTCCACTGTGTCGAATGCTTTTTTGATATCTAAAAGGGTTATCCACATTTTTTTGTTTTTTTGTTTCACCATTTCTATTAGAGCATTCATAATATGAATAGGATCCTGGGTACATTCTCCTTGTAACCCCGCAAAGTTTGGCCCCTGAGGATACTATAGTGTATAATAATATCACTTAGTCTTCGTTAGATGATTCTTATAAGTCCTTTTCTTGCTGCTTCAAGTAGCATAATCAGTCTTGTATTACCAAGCAGTAGATTCCATTCTGATAACTTTGGAATAGGAAAAATCATCTCAATTTTCTACTTTTTTGGCATTATTCCTTTCTTTAAAATTCTGTTGAGCAGCCTTAAAAAAAGATTTGTAGCTTTATTCTCTAGTTTTTTTAGAATCATGTATCCTATATTTGATAATCCTGGGGCTGATTTGTTGGAGGTTTTTTGAAGCATTTTTTTATTTCTCTAACCTAAAACGTTATTGTACCAATTCTGTTGGATAAAGGAAAGTGGTATGTATTCTTCTTTTTATATTTCTTTTTTCTCTCCAGGAACTTGAGAGTTTTCTTTGAATTGTTTTGTGAAGTATGTATCAACCTCTTTTTTAACTTCATTGGGTTCGTGAATGAGTTTTTTCTTTCCTAATATTGGATCTGTTGTAATAAGAATTCTTTCTATTACAATTTTGTTTCATGGCCTTTTCAGGATACTGTTAAGTATTTTCTTTTCTTCATGTCTGATCATCCCAAATCTTCTTTCGATATTATCTCTTATTCTTTTTTCTTGTTCAATTTTTTGTTTCGAGGATATTTTCTTTTCTATTATTTTAATCCACTCTTTGAGGTCCTCAATCTACTGTTCTAACCACCTTTTTCCAATCTTTTGGATTTTAGTATCATTGTTCAAGTTTACTTGTTCAATTTGAATGTTTAAAGAGGTTTGGTCTATGGAATTAATTTCAGTATTTAGGTTTATATGTCCTATTCGGCCTATTCTTCTTAGCTGCTTGATCCACTTGTATCTTGGATTCCATATAATTTGTTTTTGCTTTTTTTCTGTGGTGTTCTGGATCTTCTTGTGTGGAATTGTTTTGTTTGCAGCTTTGTTTATTAGTTCTGCTAGTTTTTCTATACTTCATTTATCCAGTCTTCTTTTGACAGACTAGGTGTTTCAATTTCTCTTTTCGATTCTTTATTACAAAATTCCTCAATATACTTCTCTAGGAGAGAGGTAAAATTTTTCCAATCCTCTTTAGTTATTTTATCATATAAATATACTTTACAATTACCAAAATTTTTCTGTCTTTGCTGAGTGATTGAGTTTACGTGAAGTATGGGGCTTAGCAGTAGTTTTGTCTATATCAGGTTGTGATCACTACCCATAATGAGATCTATCAGTTCCACATTACTATCTATAATGAGTTCTTTTAATTCTGTATATAACTATATATGGTCTATTTTTAAGCAGGACTTGGAGTTGGCCCATGTTGCTTTGAAGATTTGTGGATTAATAAGGATATATACTTCTTCAAAGCCTACTTTTTGTAGCTATCTTATAATCAGGAGTTTGCAACGTTTGTTCTCTTGTATAACTTCTCCCATTCTAATATTCTGAGTAATACCTGCTCCAACATCTAATACTGTATTGAAATCACCTCCTATAACTATTCTTGTGTTTAGTTTGCTTTTGGTGATATCTTCTGTTAAGTATTGCTGTATTCTTTTCTTTGTACTTTTATCGCTTGGTGAAAAATAAACTACCCATATAACTAGTATTATTTTTTTGAATCTGAATACCACTTTTAATGAATAAGCATCTTTTGCTATTATCTCGGTGAGGTGAGTTTACCACTCTTTTCTTACTAGTAATCCTACCCCGAAGCCTTTTCTTTTTTCTATAATATCTTTGGTCCAGAAAGCTCTATAGTGTTGCCAGTTAATCTCAAAGAAAACTGCTTCTCTTGTACTTATGTTTGTTTTAGTTATTCCTATCATATCTAAATTTTCTTCAACTCTGTAATCTATTAGCTTTTGCAATTTTGTTCTATTTCTCTTAAGGCCATTAATATTATAGAAGCCTATTTTTACTTGTTCAAATCTTTTTTCTATTCTATTGTCTTGCTTTATATTTTCTGGCGCTAAATATAATTCTGGATTAGTTATGAGAGCGTTGTTAGTTATCTTAAGTGGTGTTCACCCCAACAAGCTGTATTGCTTGTCTGAATTTGTTAATACAACTGTAGTGCCCTTAGAAGAAGTTGAGGACTGGAGTTTTCTGTTTTTCTTCAATCTTTTGTAACCTATTCAAAATTTGCTCCAAAATGCTACTTTGCATTTCACTTTTGACTGTGAAATTAACTCTTGGCTTATTGTATTCTAAACTATGTGGTCTAGCCTTTTTATTAGTCAGGGAAGATGTCACATATGTTTATATATAAGTGTAAGTTTATAATAAAAATTATAATAAAAACATATATTTACTATAAACTTTAAGCTCAAGATCCTTTTAAATCTACATATTAACTTATTTTCAAATTTTGAACATAAATATATTGAAAATAGTAGAATAAAATCGCTTAGAACAACTTTTTAAAATTTTGCAAATTTTATACATTTTGCTAATAAAATTTTGCAAAAAAAAGAAATATATTAAAACTAAATCAGTAGTTATGTGTAAACTGCTATTCCAAACATATTTAATTAGAAAATAAAAATAGGTTGATATAGTAAGAAAAAAGTTATACATAGATAAACTAAAATTTTACTGTTTTTATATAGTAAACTTTTTTTTTTACTTAGGTACTCTGTTTTTATCTTTTAAGTAAAGTTGTTCAGCATAAAATTTTATATTTATACAATTGCTGATTTTTGCTTTTTTGAACTTTTTACTAAGTGAAAAATAGAGTTAAAATTATAAAAACATTTTTATAAAAAAAGAAATAATTTTTTTTTATAACTTTAACCTCATTTCACTCTTAGTAAAAGGTTCAAAAAAGCAAAAATTAGTGAACTATATAATATAAAATTTTATTCTAAGCAACTTTACTTAAAAGATAAAAACAGAGTACCCAAGTAAAAAAAAAAATTACTATCTAAAAACAGTAAAAGTTTTAGTATATCTATGTATAGCTTTTTTTTTTACTATGTTAACCTATTTTTATTTTCTAATTAAATATGTTTAGAATAGCAGTTTATACATAACTACTAATTTATTTTTAATATATTTCTTTTTTTTGCAAAATTTTATTAGCAAAATGTATAAAATTTGCAAAATTTTAAAAAGTTGTTTTAAGCGATTTTATTTTACTATTTTCAATATATTTATGTTCAAAATTTGAAAATAAGTTAATATGTAGATTTAAAAGGATCTTGAGCTTAAAGTTTATAGTAAATTTATATATTTTTATTATAAATTTTATTATAATTTATCACTCAGTATGACATATTCCCTGACTGTTATAGCGATTTTTATCCTAGAGCATTTTAGTTTCATATTCTTTTTGCTTTTCTCTTTTTTGCTTATTTCTATTTTGTTCGAACCCATAGCTGTTATATTTTCTAGGCTTCTAAGTGGTTTTCTGTTTTTGCTTCGAGGTCTGCGAATGCTATTAGTTCTACTGCTATCTAAGTTGGCACTATAGATAGAATTAAGTCTTCTAGTCTCGTCTGGCTATTTAGTAAGCATGCCCTTGGGTAGGTTTTATTCCTCATATATTTCTGTTTTATTTCTTACTCTTTTTTCTTTATTTTGGCTATTATCTTCTTTTTTATACTGAAACATGCTATATGAGAGATTTTTTCTATTTGGGTCTTCTGTAGCTAGGTGCTATCTGAGTCTGGTATTGAAATAATATAAGATGCAGCTTTGGGCTAATAAGAGGTCCTCCTCTGATTTGAAATATAGTTGTAGAGGATATGAACTGCTTAAACTCTATACTTTTTAAGCTGCTGTAAGAGAAGGCTGTCATATGCTGATATTGGAATATTTGAAATAGTGCCTTTGTAGTTGTTCCTTGTTTCTATTTCAGCAATATCAACTTGTCTAGTGTAGTTCTATATATTTTACCTTGTTCTAAATGAATTAACCACCCTTCTTTTAGAGATTTTTCTCTTTGTTCTGAATTTGGCATCATTTTAATACATGCTGCCTTTGTTTTGAAATTCTGTTGCCATATTATAACAGTTGCTGTTCCAAAGACGTTCAGATAAGACTTTATTACTGATGCTTTTATATCTTTTGGAAGGTCCCAAATCATGAAGAGAAAAGTAGATGAATCAGGGTCTTTTTGATGTGAGATCTTGTTTTCTGGGGCCCAAGCTGAGTTGTATATGTCTTCATATTGTTTAGATCTCTTGTGACTTAATTGCTTAGATGATTTTGCATCTGTTTGCAGTTCCTCTTTTATGAGTTCTTCCAGTCCATAATCAAAAATGCTACACTCTTTTTTAACTAGTATATCTTTAACTAGTTTCTGGTAGTCTTTTAGAGCAGGTGTTGGTGCTTCTTGTTCTGCCATATTTCTCTTACGAGGGTTGTCCTGTAATTCTAATTCTATGTTGTTAACAGTGCTCTTAGTTTCAATAGATGGTGTTGCTGAGTAGTTTCCATTGGGAGTGGCTCCACTTTGACTTCATTTTTATTTGGCACTATTTTGAGCTTACTCTTATATTCCATATCAATATTGGTTGCTTTAGAGAACACAGTTGAATATACAATTAAGTCTTCCATTAAAGAAGGTTCAATTTTAACTTTAGTATTGCTTTCTTGGAAGTAGTTTTCCTTTGTATTCTTTACTTGTATTGTATTGTTAATTGAAAATTCTAGTAGAACTTTTTTCTCTTTTTCTAGGGTTTGATCACTTGATAACTTGTGTTGAGCGTAGTCGAAGTGTGTAAAATATTGCATATGATTGCGATAAGATAGATTTCGCTTGTGCCCAAATATTTTGCAACTTTTTTATTTTGTTTACATATAAATTTGGTTTGATCTTTTTGTACTACTGCTCTTTCAGTTTCAGATTAGTTAATACTTGTGATTGTGTAAGTAATATATGTATAATAATTTATCATGATTTGTACAGTAAAAGTTCAGTTACTGTATCACTCTCTTCGTCAATCACTAAAACCAAATCTGGAGCTAAGAAAAAACAAAGTTTGGCAATTACTTTATTAAGACAACAATAGAACTAGCTCTAAGCTAAAGAATAGAATACAAAAAAATAACTGGAGTTTCCTAGAACAACTTTGATTACTATGTTCTCAAAAATGCACTTCTTGAAAAATTTTTAGACTTTTGACAAAATTTTTAAAACTTTTCTAAAAATTTGGGGATTTACTG